GAAGAAGAAGAAGAAGAAGAAGAAGAAGAAGAAGAAGAAGAAGAAGAAGAAGAAGAAGAAGAAGAAGAAGAAGAAGAAGAAGAAGAAGAAGATGATGATGATGATGATGATGATTCCGCTGCCTAGCAGACGGGTACTCGGCGGATCGAGGCTAAGAAGAGAAGCACTTCGTCAGATACCCTTCTCCCTCCTTTCATTCCCCCACTCCTCCCACTCCTTTGCTTGCAAGAAGCATCTGCACGGCACTGCAACATAGCAACACGTGATGCCTTGATGCTGACCGGAGCTCAAGTCCATCGCACCGAGACGAGTTGGGCTTAAAATACCATCAGCCCTGCGATGTGTGTGTGTGTGTGTGTGTGTGTGTGCACCATGGACAGACGTGTCGCGGTCGCGGCTTCGCTGCATAGTCTTCGCCGTAACTCGCGATTGACGCTTTCATTGTTGGGTGGATGAAGGCCATTGTCCTATTGTCTATGGGAAGTGCGTGCGTGCGCGCGTATGTGGTTATGCACGTGTGTGTGAGATAGAGAGACGGGGGTGCTTTACACAAATAGAGCTAGAAAGGCTAGAAAGCTCTTTTGGCTATTTAAGCTCGAATTCTAACATGACGGAGTATAATTTGATGTTGAGAGAGAGTTTTTTTTTTGGGGGGGGGGGGCAAAAGGCCGGCCGGCCGGAGAGGAGGACCAAATGCTCCTCTCTAAACTATTTACGCTATATATCCACCCGGCCGCTTCAGGGGCGGGCAGGGGTCCTCCTGCGTACGCAGGGTGGGGCGGCACGGGCCGAGGCCGAGGGTGTGCGGGGGTGGCGGCTGCTGTGGAGGCGGCGGTGGCGAGGCGCAGGGCGGCACAGGGTTAGGTAGCTTGTTACCATCAGAGCCCCCTAATAGGAGCGCGAGGAGCAGCCCGTGGCGTGGGGTGGCGAGAGGGACAGAGGTGAGGAGTGAGAGAGACGGCGAACGACAGAACCAAGCTCCCACCCTCCTCTCTCTCTCCCTCTCTCTCGCTCTCTCCCACGGGGCAGACTCTGATCCTTTCCACTCCACCCCACCGAGCAGTAGTAGATCAATATTGAGTGAGTCAAGTGGCTTCGGTGTTTGTCTCTCACTCTGCATCCTGTCAGTATCTAACCTCACTCTCTCGCTCTCTCTCTCTCTCGCCCTATCTCTCGCTCTCGCTCTCTCGCTCTCCTTCTCTCTCTCTCTCTCGCTCTAGCTCGCTCGCTCGGTCGCTCTGTCTCCATCTCACACGCACACACACGGCCCCTCTCTTTCCCTCACCCAATATACCCCACCTCTCCTCACACCTGATGCCGGCCGACCAGCCCATCAGAGTTTGTCGGCGCTGGCAGGGGTGCTTTGTGACCCTCCCCCCCCCTCTTTTCTCTTCCTCTCTTTCCCTCGGCCCGGCCCACTGGCAGCCAGGAATCTCAGCCTCCACTCAGCCTCCCCTCATCAACCCCCTCCCCCTTTGTCCCCTCATCACCCGCCCCGGGCTTCCCTTGCTTTTGACGAAGAGAAAGAAGACGAATTAATGCTTTAGGCTGTGATGCTTTGGATTTCGATCGCCCACTCCACTCCAAAGCGTTCTCGTGCTTCAGTCTCTTGAACAAGAAGAGAGGGAGAACGCGGGTATGGGGGAAGGGGGTGAGGACGGGGAAGTACGAGACGGGAGGGGATGGGGGTTAGCTGGCCGGCAGCGCCTAAGTGTTGACATTGCAATCATCACTGCGACCACACGATTGTCGGAGCAGGGGTTGACACTCCGTCCCGTTTACTCGTGGCCGTAGCCGTTTCATTATAATTATTATTAATACCACGACCGCATAAAACCTCCCGGCATCATCCTTGTGTGTTCATTTTATCGATGACGACATTATCGTCCACCACGCACGCATCTTCTTGAGCGAGCATGGGGCTGGAGCCGGCTAGCGCCCCGGGGGCCGAGCCCCCTGGAAGGTGGGCCGCATGTCCTTTAATAGCGGCGTGCTCACATGCGTGCGAGCGTGCCGCCTCAACACGCCGTACCCCGCCCCGCCCCGCCCCGCGTCCAAGCGAGGCAAGTCTTTTGATTACCGCAAATAAAACTACTGAAGTGAACTGAGCAGCGAACACGGGGCGGGGTCAGGAGAGGGGTGAGTGAGGGTGGTGGTGGGTGCTCAGAGCAGAGGGAGGCGGCTGCTGCGGTGCTGGATGAGAATACGGACAGAGCAAACCAAGTCGGTGTCTACAAGTGTGTGGGGGGGGGGGGGGGGGGTCGATCGTTGCCGGGCTCTCCTTTTGATGGGTCACTCAACCAACAGCCTCTACGAGAGCCCCTGCTTAGCATCGTGATGTAGTTTTGTTGGTGAAGGATGCAGAAGCAGGCCTGCGTTGGCTTTGCATACCTTGCGACCATGCGTTTCCTTGTTTCCTTGCGTGGCGCTCCGTCTTTTCGTCCGTAAGGCGCCATAGCCCCTGCAGCCCTGTCGAGGATGCAGTCCTGCAACACTGCAGCGCATTCGCATTCATTCAAGGAAACGCCCCGGCTCGATCATACTGTGGAAAGGACGAATAATGGCGTATAAAGTTCTGGAAGAATGGACAAAAGCGCCAGTGCGATAGTACTTGCTTGAAATTTGACAAGTGAACCTGCTACTTATCGTGTGAGATTACTCTGTTCGCTTCTCGTGTTATCTTAGTATCTTTCAGAAGAATAGCAAACATTGTTCTCAAATCAAATAGTAATTTTTTGTCGTCGTCGTCGTCGTCGTCGTCGTTGTTGTTGTTGTTGTTGTTGTTGTTGTTGTTGTTGTTGTTGTTGTTGTTGTTGTTGAAAACTTGTATAATAACAACCCTGGCCGAGCCTGGCTCGGTTCCGGTCCTCCCTGCTCCTGGGGTGTTTCTCTTTTCGTTTCGTGGAACCGTTTTGCAGAGATGATTCAGTGGCTTAATGAAGCGACCGAACAAAACGCGCGGCGGGGTGAGTTGTCGGCTCAGTAGGCTCGGGGCGCGGACGCCCCGCCCCGCCACGCCACGCCACGCCCGGCTCGGCTTTCGTGTGACTGTGATGCGCACTTCAGCTTTCATCCGCTTTCATTCAAGCTCATCGGAGCGTGACATGGCGCCATCCCCTCTCCCATCCCTTTCCCTCTCCACCCCGCCCGACAAGCACTGGGCTGGCAGCGCCCGGCCCGTGGGCCCGGCCCCGCCACACTCCATCCATTCCCCAACCGTCCCATCAAATCGATTACCGTGCAGCACGTGACAGAATGTTTGTTCAGTGGATCATTCCCAGACCAGGCCACCCTTTGTTTCCACTTTAAAGCGGAACCCGACCCGCGGCCGTCCGCGCCCGCGACGCCCACGAGTGCTACGGGCAGGGGAGGGGTGAGCTGGTAGGAGCTGGCGATGATGGTCGCGACAGCTCTACATTTACCCTGCGGCAGCCCTTGCGGCAGCCCTTGCAGCAGCACGCCCGCCCGCTAGCGCGCCCCGCGCCCCGTACCGGGTGTTGCATAAAAGACACAGGTGCGGGCGGGTTTGCCTACCCGCTCTGCCCAAGGTGCCATAGCCCCTTGGGTAGGCAAACCCGCCCGCTCATAGGCGGCGTGCACAAATTATGCCGGTAATGGTGGGTTGCATAGGCACAGGCCCGCAGGCGCCGTCGAGAGCGCGCAGGATTTCGAGCATCCCCGCGGAACCGCGAGTCTCCCCTTGGAACCGCGGGGGGTGCGCGAAATCCTGCGCTTTCCCGACAGCGCCTTCGAGCCAGCGCGTATGCAACCCGCCATACTGGCATGTAAGAGCAGGGACACCCGGTACCCGCAACAGATAGGCTGCATACGTGATAGGTAGTAAAATTAGCTGTAGCACCTAACTTTTTCGCCATCCGATGCACTGATCAGTCACTACGGGTATGACATATGACATTAGCCGCCAGAACTAGAAAGTTATCTGTCCTAGCTAATATTAGTGAGTCCCACGAATCCAGCTAATGCATTAGCTTTATCAGCTAATCTTTCTTTCTTTTTTTTAAAATTCTTTTGCGCGACCGGACGGCTCATATACCTAAAAAGCCACCCCTTGCATGCACCGATAAATAGGTACCTTTTCTTTCACTTCAAAAAAAGGGCTTTGGCTGTTCCAAAGGAAATTTTGACTACGATGTAAAAGCGGGAAAGGCAAGGCCTCAACTCAACTTCCTTGTGGAGTGTACACCAGATTGCCAAGATTGACAGATTGCTTTCGGGGCGTAAAACGCCTGTAGTTGAGCAAAACGCACTAATTGGATCCTGGGTCCCAGCGAGAAATGGATGACGTCGATATCGAAATTCTGTCGATTTGGTGGACAAAATTGAGTCGATGTCGAGTCCAATTTGCCTCGATCGATGGCTATCGACCATTTATCTCGACCGTTTATCGATATTGCATTTTTGAAAAGCATGGCTTTTGGCCTAGAGCTTACCGAAGATTATTGTGGATTTCCAGGGTGGGTGTGGGTGTGCACCAGATTGCCGGAGTTGTGACCCCCCCCCCCCAAAAAAAAAATTAAGGACATTCCCTATTCCCTAGAATTAATGGAATTAAGCTTTATACAAATGGGGGCTGACGGACCACCCTGTATACCATCGTGGCGGTCACCCTTGCAAAATGAGCACCAATGACTCCTACGTGTGCAGCCCAGGAACTCTTTAAACCTCGGTCTAAACAATGTTTTTCTCTCTCTCTCTGTTGCAGGTGAAGATATGGTTCCAGAACAGGAGAACCAAGTGGAAGAAGCATGACAACATAACGAACGCGGAGGCGGCGGAGCACAAGTCGCAGCCGCCGCCGCCGGTGCCGCTCCCCGGCGCGCCCGTCAAGAGGCCCGTCAAGAAGGCCGCCTGCAGCAGCCCCGGGAATGGGCTCGGGACTTTGTCCGCGGCGGCCGGCTCCCCCTTCTCGGCCGACGAGCACTCCAACGGGTCGACGCTGCTGACTGGCGATGGCGACGCGGACGGGGACGGTTCTGTGTCCGAGAGCTGCTTCTCGGAGGAAACGCTGCCGGCGACCTGTGCCACCCAGTGCAGGGCGGCCACCACGACCACCACCGGCACCCCGCCGCCCACCGACGCGTCGCCGTGCGCGGCCTCGCTCAGCCCCGTCGTCAGCACGGCGCGGTCCTCCGCGTCGTCGCCGGCGCCCCTCCGCGCCTCCTCGCCTCCTCTGACCTCGCCCTCGCCCACTACCACCGACACCCAATTGGAGGCCGTCGCCGTCGCCACACCGGTGCAAAGGAGCTCTGTCTCGCTGGAGGCGACCTTCTCGTCGCCAGTAGCGTCCCCGACCCCGGCCACCTGCCGCGCTCCAGCGTTACCAAACACAACGGCAACACCTGCAACGTCAACGCCAAGCTAACCAGGGCGTATGCATGATGAGACGAAGGTTCGGCTGTCGTTTCGATGGCAAAGATAGTGTGAGTCATATGAGAGGAGAAAAAAAACACTCGTTCGAATTACGAATGTATGCTCTTCGAACAAACTTTTTTATACTCGTTGGAACTTCATGTACAAGTTTAAGAGTTATGTGACCTTTCTCGTGAGAATTTTGTGATGCCATTTGTATATTTTCTACCCTTAAGATTACTGTTCTTGTCTCTATATGTTTTCTTTCGTACAAGACATAGTGTTATTTTGCTGTATAAACAACCTCAATATATGGCTAGTGAATTCATAAAGTCAGTTAAAATTTGTGCCATACTGTTAGGAAATTAATATTTTGCAATTTATACATGTTTTCAAACTTTTGTTTTAACTATTCATTGAATGATTTAAATTCTAGATTTCTGAGCTGAGCACTGTTTTGTTTGTTTGTTTTTTTCATTTTCAACGTCTAAATTTCCGAAGTCAACTCGTTTTGTTTTTGTTTTCTCATAGGAATTTAATTCTTCTTCCATCCTCTTTTTCAAACAGTGATGTTTTTTGAGTGTTTTCAGTCTTCTTTCATCCATGACTGAAGTTTCTCTGTTCATCTTTGTAAATGTTCTAACTTTTAACTTATCAACTGATTTCATGCTTTTGTTTGTTGAAATTAAACTTCCAAAGTTATAACACATTTGGCCCTCATATTTTCCCAACACAAACTCGCTCTGACGCTATGCCAACTGGTAGCTGGTGGTACATCCGTCTCCACGGAGGAAGAACGGAGGATTGGTTGTAGACCAATTAGAGAATTGGTCGTGGCGGACAGAGAGCTCTCGACCAACCACCAACGATGATCTACCTGCTATTCTTCTTCCCCCATTAGCCAAAATTAAGGCCGCAGCCGGCCTCCGTCCTGGTGTAGCTACTCACCGACACAGCCACAGGCAGCCAGGCAGCTCCCAGGCTCATAAGTCGACAAAGACTCGTCAATGACCCTCATTTAACGTCAAAATAAGCTCAATCTGGGTGTGCCTCGGGACGGACAAATGCAGAGCTCAATTATGAACCCAATGGGAGCCACGATATTTGTATCCCCGGCCATAGTACGTGGCCCTTTGGTCTAGCCAGCACATTTTGAGCACATAAGGGGTGACCAGTGCGGAGTGAACAGGCTGAATCAAACAGAAAAATGTAATAATGTACCTGATTTTATGAAATACATTACAAAATTAGAGTACAATAAATATGTACATTATGAAGCAATACAAGCAAAAATTTTGTTCTCCTTCCATAACATAGTATGCCTATCAAAACAACAACCTACATCTACTCTACATTCTGCTCTTTCTCTCCCATGTAAGAAAGCAAATTACATTTATTGCTATGTCTATCATAGCATAACAATTTCATTCCTCAATAGACAATGTAAAAGACATGCCATGGAAGAAAAACAGTTCTTTTTAAAAGTGTAGGTTTGCTATAAGAACCAAGTGAAACATGACCAGGGCACTAGGTAAGAAGAGGTATATACAATAAGGATTTGACTAAAAATATACACCTTTAAAACTTTAGAGACCAACATTATTTTAAACATATAAAAGATATCCATAACTAATTTCACATGAAAAAAATATATATGTCATAATAATTAATCAAGCAACAGATTTACAGGCTGTGGTACCTACAGGTATATACAAGGATCACAAATTGTGATGTTCTATACATGAATGGATAGATGATATAAATAAAAAGTGTTAACAATAGAATGCTTTCAACACAGCTCATCCAAGGCATAATACTGAACCTTGAAGCTAATTCAGTTAAAAATTACAGATGATACGGGAGCTCAACCCATTGAATTTTAATTAACAGCTCGATCTGCAAATAACACAACATCTACAAAGAATCATGGTTGGAATTGTTTAGTACGGATGATAAAATTCAAAATTGTAATTGATCGTTTTGTGAAGTAAGTGGGGAGTGACATTTCACTTACATAAATTTCCAAACAACTGGATTAGCTTCCCACTCTCAATATCACACAGTGCATCACCTTCTATTGTTTATACATAATTGAAAACTCAGTCTTCAACAGCCACCAATACATATCACTTCTGGTTTCTCTATACATACTTTTTCAACAGCAATGTACGACATAATTAACTTCAGCTGTCAAAATAAATCTCTTAAAAACATACAAATTTGGCACACAATAAGGAAGGGTTAATTAAATGCGATCACCATCAGCTCAAGGAAATGAAAACTGTCACAATAATTAATTTGACAATCACTTGAATATATTGAAGTTAACGACCAATAGCATTAAAGATTGGCAAGACAAACATGCCAAAATAGCAGACTATAAAGCTACACAGCGTGGGGTTCATTCCATTGTGGCACATAATGTCAGTCATTTTTCCAAGTCAGTTGGGGAGGGGGGGAACCCAGGGACTCTTACAGAGGGAAGGACACCTGACCATAGACTCCTAAGTAGTAATACAGTAAATTGGGACTAGCATTCCAGAGAACCGCACCATATAAATAAGACAGAGGCCACCTACAGTGCTTGAGGCTTAAGGCAGTTCAGGACACAGACTTCTGGTATCAGTAGTTCTTGAGACCCTTCAACAGCACAGCTTGAGCATCATGGTTTCAAACTTGAGAGCGGTTTAAAGTAAGAACTTCAGACAGTAGAATCTCTTGTTAAAACCAATATGAACACAATATTCAAATATATGGATTGATGGGTAATACTTCCCCCACACATGGGGTTTTCTTTTCATTGGAAACCATATTAGTATGATCATAACATTAGCCTTCACCAGAGACTGATGATATACTGCTCCGAGTTGAGCCCATGTGATGTCCAAGGTCAGACAGATCAGATGGAAGAGGCTGGGAAGGTCCAAACATGTGCTCTTGCTCTTCTAGTTGCAAGGCAAATTGCTCCTCTAGTTTCTGAAATCATATAAAGTGTGTAAATAGTGTGCAAATTTTGCATTTGTATCTGCTCCCATTGTTTTTCTAAAATATTGCTGGGCCCAATGTTGAAGGTGTATCTAAATCTAACATTATCTCCAAATCAGCATCAGTCTGGCCCTATGTAATAATTTGCTAATGAATCCTTAACCTGGAATATTATTAAGACAAAAAAAAATCACTGAAAAGAAAAATCAATAGCTACTGTAAAATATCTGACAGAGTTCCATGCTTCACAGATTTAGTCATTACATATTTACATTTAAAAATGGGTAGAAATGTGGCTATGTGCCAAACAAGAGTGAGTGTAATTTCTATACTACAATAGGAGATGAAGAATCAATACACACCTTTTATGAAGACGGCACCTTCCACCTTAGTCTTTTAAATTTTGTATAGTTTAAAAGGAAGTTAGGGAAAAGGAAGAAAACTCCTTCCACCTCATTTATTCTTTTTTAGCAATAATTTTTTTTTTTTTTTTTTTTAAGGAAAGGGAAAGCAAATTTATCTATGTTGACAATAACAACAGTGCCCCAAAGAAAACAGAATGATAGGAGGGAACACAATAAAAGCATAAGAGTAGAATAAACAGTAAGGAAGGACAATCACATAAAGCTACCAGATTAGATGGTAGGAACGATATTAAATACACTTTTCAGTTAAGAGAAATACTAGTAGCAATATATATCTGCATTTTAAAATGAGACAAAACAGAAACAAAGTGTTTTAGTGTGTCAGAAACAAGGGGGTGGAAAGGGAAAATTATCAAAACATGACAAACTATTCAATGTCTTAGGAAAATTGCCTGCAAAAGCAAGAAATAAGCAGACAATTCCCAAAAGTTAAACAATATCTTATTTTCTTGCATGTTTTTCCCAATTTTTTCCAACTTAACTAACACTCTAAAATCTGTTTATACTACCCTGGGGTTATCAACAGAGTACAGCAAGTGATGGAAGCACAAAATTAATATTTAGTGAAGAAACAAGCAAATACCTAATACCAGCAACTAACACTAAGAAAAGCATAAAAATCCAAGAGCACTGCACCACTTTAGCTGTCTCTAGCCAAGCCTGCAAAGACACAAAAACGTTTCAAAGTGAAACACAGGGCAACATAGACTCCAGCAGAGAGAAGGGAAAACTCGAAGTGAAGGACTAAAAAAATTAAGGTAGGGAAAAATAGAAACAGAAACATGGAATGTACTGACAATGCACAAATCAAGCTAAATGTTGTACCACAACATCATGGATCATGAATGTCTCTTGCCCCCAAAAGCAGAGCACCTGAAAACAACAACACGTAAGACAAAGTAAGGGAAAGGTTGGAAAAAGAAGACGCATCATTGCACAAAGATAACCCACAATACTATGGCACCAAAGACCACAGCAAATGAGGGTCTGATTTCTTACTTTAAGAGCATGATGGTATCTAATAGTTGATTAAGAGGATTTAAAAAAAGTAAAATGCACACTTCAATGTGTTATGAAATTTAGTGAATAGGCAGTGTTGCATTTAAAACTTTAAGATTGATGCCATAATTAACTAAATGGGTTAGGTGGTGTACTAGACAAAGAACGAGAATGAGATGGTGTTTCGTGGCTGAAGCGCGATGAAGATGTAGGAGAAATTTGTCGGGAGGCACTTGAAGCATACAATGCATAAGGTCGACGGAGGATGGAAGCTAGAGATGGCGAGGGAGAAGATGGGGGGGAATAAGTGTACGGATTTGAGGTGGTAGGGAATGATGAAGAAGAACTAAAAGATAGAAGAGACATTGCAGTGGAGGATCGACTCAAGGAACGTTTGCCTGGACTGAAAGGTAGTAAAGCACAAAGTTGGCGTTTCTCTTCTAGCTCCTGGGCTTGACGATCAAATTCTCCCAACAATTGCTGTGAAAATACAATCCCAAAAGTTGTATTGAAGAAAACAAAATTGCCACATTGTAGGGAGTAAAAACATAACAAGACTAAACAGAAAAAAATCTACCTCAATAAAAATTTGTAGCTTGAAACAAAACTGCATTTTAAGCTTATTTTAACTTACGATCGAGAGAAAGTAAAGATTTTAATATTTAGGAAGCAGGAAGTAGTAGCATCATTCCTTAAAATTTATGACTGCCTACTATACTTCTAATGAAACAAAGTACATCACTAGTTTATCATAACATATTTACCTGTTTACGTGGTTTCAGGTGGGCTTTCCATTCCTTCAGTTCTCTCATGTATGCCTCTTCCTGCTCTTTGAGCTTCATTGTCTCATGTTCCAAAAGCATTTTTCCTGTTCAAAGAGAGTTGGTATCTCAAATTATAATGGACATTCATGTGTAAAATTATTGTAATCATTGATCAGAAAAACATACGTTTTTCATTTTGAAGCTGTTCCAACTCCTTAATAGTGGCATCAGATGTAGCACGTAGTTCTTCCAACTGTCGCTTGTGTTTCAGTTCAAATCGAGATTGTTCAGCTCGATAGCGCTTCTTCTCATTTTCTTGAAACTGAGGGAGAAAACATGTTAAGGTTACCAAGATATTACTACAGCTAACAACATTACACAATTCTCATCAAGTTCTGACCTTTTTCAGTCTTTCTCGTTCTTCATCAGGGTCGGAATGTGAATGTGAATTAATACGAACAGACTCACGGAACATCATTTCACGGGCTTTCATCTCATTACGAATTCTTTTGGGAAGAGCCCTCTTTTCAACTGTTTGACGTTTTAACAGTTCCTCCTCCTTCCTTATGTTCATTCTTTTGATTTGTTCAAGTTCCTTATCATGTCTGCATAACATCTGGAAAATAAATTATGAAGTGAGGGCTTAAGTTTCAACAAAATTTAATTTAAATTTGTTTTTTCAATGGAAAACAACTAACTTGGTGCCTTTGCAAAAAGAATATGTCTTTTAATTGTTTTTTGACTAACTGTTGCTTATCATGAATATGGCGCTCTTCCATTTCCCAAATTGCAGCTTCACGAGCTCGCATAAGCTGGAAAGTTGAGTGTTGAATGAAAAATAGAACAAGTGACTCAATTACACATTTGTCTTGCCAAACATGACTATGAAAGGATGGGATCTGGGATGAATCGCACCTGCTGTTTTTGTTGAAGATATTGTCTTTCTGTTAGTGCTATGCGATCTCTATGAGCATCACTAAGTCTCCGTAATGAGCCTTCGTGATTTTCATTTAACTTTTCCAAGAATGCCTTTTCTCTTTCTTCATGTTCAGCCTCCAACTTTTCTTTGCGGGCCTTGAATGTACTCTTTCTCTTATCCTTTGGCATAAGGTCCACCTCTTGTTTCAGAAGTCTCAACTCCTGTTTTTGACTTTCACGGAACTCTTTTAACTCTCTTTCCTACAAATTACAGAAAAATGTGCATTTTTGTTTCCATTTATATTAAAGATACAGTATATTTAATGAGTAAAGGAAATTATGGATTTGCTACATACCTGTTCAGCACGTATTTTCTTTGACGCAGCTCGAAGTTCACTATCCTGTTGAGTTTCAATCTTTTCAACAGTTTGCTTTTGTTGACGAATTAATCCATCTAAATCTTGGTCATATGCTCTACATAAACTATCACGTTCTTGCCCAATTTTCTTCTCTTGGTTGTCTTTAGCAAACTGAGCCTTAAAAGATAGGTCCTGGAATTGCTTCTGCTCTTGTTTTTGGAGCATCTTTAACTCTCGAAGTTCCTGCTTCCTCAAAATATGATCATCATAAATACCTCCTCCATCTTCATCATCACCATAAATAACACGACTAGTAGTGGTAGTAACAACGACACCATCAATTTCAAACTTCCTGGTCCTCTTACGGGTTTTCTTCTTTAAATTGTGAAGTATGATATCCTCTTTACTACGAGATGCACGATTTACGTCCTGCAAAAAATAAAAAGCACACATAACACAAACAAAAGTATGCATGCAGATTTCCATTAAGTCAATAAAAAATGGTTACAAAAATATATCAAATTACATACCCTACCACCATAGTCCGGCTTCCTTCTCAATACAACTTCTTCATCTTGGTCGGCAGGAGAACCTCCAAGACGGTTCTCTTTGTTGCTGCCCCTGCTATCCTGACTTATTGTAGTAGAAACACTCTCCGCATCAGAACGGTCAACAGATCTACCGACTGATGGCAAACCCCCACTACTTCGTATTGACCCATTGTCTGAATGTAAACTTGATCTTGTAGTCGTGCCTGGGGTCCTGTCTGGAGAAGGCCTCTTCTCCTGCAAAGGAGTTGACTTGGAATCTGGAGCTTGATTATCCTTTTCCTTTCTGGCAGCATTGGAAATTTTGTTCACAACAATTAAAACTTCCCCATTTTCATGGGGTGATGTTATCCCGCTAGCTTGACCATTCATCTTCTTGACAGATTGTGGTGGCAATGGTTGAGGAGTAGATCTGACATTCTCTTGAGAGCCTACATCAGTAGGATGCACAGTTGATCCATCCACCACAATCGATGTACTGCCATCAGATGTCAAATCGTCACCTGAACCTATAAATTTTATTGACATATATTCAATACAAGGTTTCAATAAGTAGGTAAACCACCCTTTTCAATTTATAAAAAGACCAACCTGAATCCCTGAATTCTTCACCAACATGGACAACTGAGACATGACTTGTGTCATGCCTACCCCCATCTGCAAGGCCACTGTCATTAGCAACAATACTAGAATTGGCAATAAACACTTCACTCTCATCTAGACGCTGACCACCAATAGCAGAGGTATTGTGAATGACATCGTCCTGAAATTGAAAAAAAGGAAAAGTTAAAATGGGAAAATTGTTTTTAAGTCCACAAGTACAGAGAAGAAAATGATGATTCACCTGTGGTGGGTACTCCAACGAATCAAAGCAATCCTCAGCAAGAAGTGATTCATTGATTCTTGTCTTGTTGGTTTTGTTAGCAATGATTACTACCTCAGATTTCGGAGTATGAACTTCATCCTCTAGCTTCTCATCACTCTTCACAATTCCTAAAAGTAGATACATGAAACTAATGCAATTATTTCTTGAGGATAAATGAAAAAAATAAACAGGAATTGGCAGTCACACACAAAGGCACCTTTAGTTTCACGAGAGGAGCGGTCATGATCATAAGCAACAGAGTGAGGTCTTGTAGTTGGGGCCTTGTTGTTGCTTTTACCATCAGAAACCACTGACCGTCGTTTTGCATTCTTATCATTTTGCCTGCCAAAAAATTGAATCAAAATGAAATGGAGATAAACTTAGATTTGTGCAGTGAAGTGAGAATGGCCTCTGTACCTGCTGGATACTTTGCTTTCTTGATGTGTTGGTCTAAGATGAGGAGAATTTTGTGAGTCAATTGGAGGTAAGATGACAGGAGGATGAGTTGTCACCACAGTTATTTGAGAAACACCTCCCGGAGGTGATGGAGTACTGCTGTCTTCTGTTTGAGGTCTTGTATTGATTGTAATTAGTGACTTGTTTGCTTCTGGCAACTGTACTGAAGCACCTGAATTTTGGAGATATTAATAGAAAATAAAATATTTGAAATGGGCTCATATTACAATAGCATTAATTAAAAATACTTTTTCAGAGACTTTTCATGATTATGAAATAACTAGTGATAAAATGCAGCAATATAAATACAAACCTAAGGTGCTGGTGCTGTTTGGGCTGTTGACATCACTTGCGACTGGTGAAACAGCACTGTTTGATGGTAACCCTGAACCATCAATTAATGGTGGGCTATCACCTTCTTTGGGTAGATTAGCTGAGGGCAAGGATGTTGCGTGTGGAACAGGTAAAGGTGCAACAGCAACCAAATCTACAGATTGTATCTCGTTCTTTAGAGTCTTTGCATCTTTAGGAGTTTTGGTTTCATGCATTCTATCTGTTTTGGTTGAGTTAGATTCCTTAAGGGGAACTGACATTGGTGGAGGTACATGGGCATCAGTGTCGTCTCTAAGACTTGAAGTTATAGGTTCTATGGAGGGTTGAGGCGAGAGTTCGGTTGGTGATCGCAGTTCTTTAGCTTGAGGCGGAGGAGGGGCTGGTCCTTTTTCACGAGAGGGTTTGCGCTCATCAGAGGGTTTGTTTGGGGCCTACAACATTCAAAAAGTTCATTATTAAACAATCCCCGATTGGAATATAATATTAATAATAGTGGGATAAAACTTCAGTCAACATACAACTTTTTCAACCGTTGGTTCTTCAGGTTTGAATTTCTTACGCCCTGGATCTTCTGTTTTGTCTGATTCTCGTTTGAGACCATCAGCCTCCTTGCCACCAGCTTCAGGTGCTACGATCAATAAAATATTATTTAGACAATTGCATAGAATTACTTAGTCACACACAACTTAACAACGTTCTTACTTTTTAACTCGTTATCACTCTTCATAGATGCAGCGTCATCTTCGCCCGTGTCCAGGTCCAGAGGAAGCCGGGAGGTGCGATGCTCCTAGAAAAGAAAACAATAAAATAGATATGTGAAACTTCATTGGATGCAAATTCTACTTTATCACTGATTTCTGGGCTTGAAGGGTAGCACTACTGCTAACACAAAGAAAGAGTTAAATTAATGTAGTTACAATGTCATTGAACTTTTTAAATTACTTAAAATGGATTAAGAAATGAAAGTTGTCACAGATAGAAGTATGCTTTTGGTAATGAGTCACTGACATACCATACCTCAAGGAGCATGGTGTGTGCCTGAGAAGGCCCAGAGAGGCATGCAGATAAGAAAACAACCAAAGAGGTCAAAACAAGGAGAAGAAAGTCAAACTTAATGCAAAGTATCCTAAAGACTGCGTAAAAATAATATTAAAGCCGCTTATAACGTTGCCCCTACTTGCTCCGATAAGCCAACGTTATATGCGGAGAACGTTCAATGCAAATATTTTCTTAAATACCGATCCGCACCCATAAATTCGCAGTTTTGGGACTAGAAACTGTATACCAGGTTGCTGATTCACGCCGCGCACTTTCGTAGTTATTCTGTACAGCATGAACGCGTTCGAACGGGTTGCCTACTCGCACGGGGCTATAAGGAGTCGTGGGGAGCGAGCATAGGCGAACCCGCCCGCATCGTTCTGCATCGCCTACGGCTCATGTCTGAACTGTCTGGGCCAAAAAACTGCAAATATTGGGATATGAATAACGTAATAAGCGGGAGACTTGCGACTGCGACTAAAATCGGACTTTATATAGACGGAATAACGTTATATGCGGGAAACCGGGACGGCTGAACGGGTCCCAGATTTTACCAAAGAAACTCATGCGCAATGTTATAAGCGGAATAACGTTACAAACGAGAGACATTATAAGCGGCTTTTACTGTAGTTGAAACAAAAGAGGAATAGTTGTTTGCACGTGAAGATTATGGGTGAATCTATTAATTTGCAGATGACTTGAACAACATTCATGCAGCAATTCAAAATAATTTCATGCATCTGCACAACTAATCCACTGAGAGAGGCTTGTCTTGTCTTGTCTTTTTTTTATACATACATTAAACTAACAAACTAAAATAAGTCAGTAGATAAAACCCTCAAACTACCTAGCTCAAAAATTTCTAATGAATGAGCCTATAGATTGCTTTTGTTGTCATTGCCATACATTAAAGAAACCAAATTCAAAAGGAGAGCAGCAGAAGTAAAACCTAACATATTGTTGCAAATCAAAACAAAAACATCAATTATCCAGTTTTGTAAATAGAGAGGAGCCTGGTTACAACTGCCATTACAGCCTTCCAGCAAGTTGTTCGTACATTGTGAGCTAGGGCATGGGAATTCAAAAAATAAACACTGATCTTACGTTTTACCTAACTTATAACAGTGTAAAATTTTCAGACTACCACATTACTTGAAATTATAACCATTGTTGAAAACAGATGGAGAGGTGGTGAAACTCTTAATACTCTGGCCACTTGAACTAATTTCGGTAACCTGTCACAGGCTAGACAAAAAAAATTATCCAACAAAAAAAAAAGAGCACATAAAATGTATGAAGCCAAATAAATATGAAAAGCCATGCCCTCTACTTGGAACAGCCTACACGGAACTAAGATCCAAACAGTAGATTTTAAAACATTTTATCTATCAAATTTATCAAAGACCACTGTTGAATAAAACAAAATCACTTTACCTCTGGCATTTACTTTTAAAAAGAAGAAATTGCAATTTGAACTTTTAGTGTGTACAGAAAAAACAGTAACAACGTGGTGCACACTAACTTTTTGATAACATGCTCTAGATACAAACTCATCATTTCTGTACATTCTATTAAGAAGTTCAATATTTTCATTCAATCATGCCTGCAGATTGGATTTATTTATAATTCCAAAAGAGGGAATTGGATACATTCATAGTGAAGCTTTTGCTTGAGTAGTGTACAGACAATGGTAAGTCTGAATACAATACATACAAAAATTTTAAAAATCACAGTAAGTAATACAATCCAACTTAAAGAACATAGTACAAGACAAAACTATAATCAATACTATGCTTGTCATGACAAAATCAAAGTAACACTGAGAAACATCAAGGTACCCACACTATGGACTCCAACTTACCAACTCGTTGATATTGCTCTCTGTTTTTTCGCTGCTTCCTACCGCGCTACATAATGAAAGCATGAAATTCAGTTCCCAACATTAGATTGGTTAAAAGTCAGAGTTTATTCTACTACTCATAATTTAATAGTGGCTTATCTTCCGGTTCAGGTTAAAAAATTGCTATTGTATTAGGCAAGGACATGCAATTACTGGAAAGATACCTCAACACATTGACGGATGAAGTAACATTATGTACACAGATCTTAACGGGAAAGACCAGTCAAAAGATCCAATTTTTATTATTTTATCTTCCAGTAGGTAAAGGGGCAGAAACTATGCCTCAAAATTTTAGAAACTACAGCAGTATGAGGATAAAACATGTAGAGAACACAGACTTGTGCCACCATTACAGAGAGTCTGGGCTCCCCACTCCAATAGCTTTGCATTTATTTTGGTTCAATCATCAAGTTATCATCAAGGAATGGGACAACTCTAGTTTATGTGATGTGCTCCTGCACTGCAGATTAACGGACACAAAATAGCCAGTATAAACTATGCTGAGTAACACACTACCATATGTTACAACAATCAAATAAATATTTCATCAAAATTTTGTATTTTAAAAATAGTAGTAGCACTTCTCAGCCTTTAGAACTCAAACCTCTCATTGCCAAGTGCTCACTGTGAGTGCTATGACAAACCCAATTCTAAAGTGATTATATGTATAGAAAAATGTACAAATGCACAATGTACTGTCACAGGGCAAAGATGCCTACAGGACAAACCATAAAGCCTGTAGAACTGTCCAAAACAGGCAAGGCAGAGCTCTGTTAAAAAATAGCACGCCTCACACAGAACTGATAGTGAAAACCCCATAGGTTTCACATGCTCTAATCTCCTCCAAGCAAAGTAAAAACTCACCTCTGCTTCTTCATCCACAACTTCTTCCTCAACAACATCAGCTTTGTACTCAAGAAGAAGATCTCGAACAGGCTTTGAGTCAAGCTCTCCAGCAATAAATGGATGCTGTAAAATATTTGTACTTTCAATATTCCAGGGAGTGATTTATAATTGAAAGAAAAAACAGCTAGACTTTACAACCCCATTTACCTTGAGCAAATCTTCTGCAGTTGGTCTGTGAACAGGATCCTTGGTCAGTGCTTTCGCAATGAAGTCATTAAAATCTTTTGTCCAACGGGATGGTTGCTCTAATTTTGGTGGGTCAGACTTCTGGATTTTAAGCAACACTCGCATGGGAGACATTTCATGATTTGGTGGTTCCATTTGAGCAAATTCTATAAGAGTTATACCTAAAGACCAGATGTCAACCTAAGAGGCAATAAAGAAAATAAAAGAGAGGGAAATTAAAAAGAAAATTGTAAAAGACTGCTGGAAAAACTAAACTGAGTACTTCAAGTAGATAGATATAATGTTACCTTGAAATCATACGGATTGTCTCTGAATGTTTCACACATGACAACTTCTGGAGCCATCCAGTATGGTGTTCCAATAAAAGTGTCATGCTTTTGAAGAGTGTATTTATTACGGGTTGAAACTCCAAAATCAGCTGATGGTGAAAGTTTATATTAGTCTTGGAAAAAAGTAAAGATTTGAGGACCATAACCATAAAGCTATCATCTACCAAACTAACCTAATTTAACTCCTCCCGCCATAGTCAATAAAACATTGCCAGCCTTCAAATCTCTGTGGATAACTTTATTACTATGCAAGAACTTTAAACCTTCACACATCTGTTGACAGACAAAAGCAATGGTTGGTTCTTTTAATGGCTTCTCAAGCTCAACCATTATTGAGTCTAGAGCACCGCCATCACAGTATTCAATAAGCATCTGCAAAAAGATATAAAAAAAACAATAAATAAATAAAATTTTACTTTAGTTCTGTTATTTGATAGTTTAGCCGTGAGACCACAATGTAACTGCTCTGTTACCCAAGAAATATAGAAAAAAACATGATTACTGGGGACAGAGGCAGATTGTGACCTTACCCAAAGCTTGCGAGCATTGAAGAAAGCTTCATGCAATTCAACAACATTAGGATGCTTGCATTCAGAGAGAATATCAATTTCAATAAGAAAATCATCTAAATCATCTTCTTCTTTCAGGGCGCACATTTTGGCAGCAGCAAGGTAATTAGTCAGTTTATGTTGAGCCTGAAATGACATAAGGATTTTTAACAGAGTCCACAAAAAAAAGGGGGGGGGGGGGTCAACAAGATGCAGAGAAAGAATACCTTGTAGACTTTTCCAAAGGCACCATCACCTAGTTCCCCGATTAAATCCCAGAATTCTTCAGGGTTGCAATCCATTTTAATATTGTTGTAAACTTTCTTCTTCTTTGCTTCATTGGCCCCTCCAATGTGGAGGACCTTTTTAAGATTACTCAGAAATGACATTCTGATAGTTCAATTCTTCTGATTCTTTCTCATTTAAGGCCAGTGATATTAAGTCTAATGTGCTCAATAGATATTGATCTGTTTACACTTGGGAAACATTGGGACAAGTGATGGGCTGTGTCTTCCTCCCATAAAGAGGAACTTGGAAAACCATGATGAAGATGCCATTAGGGGCAATGAAGATGTCAGTCAGAAGAAAAATTATAGCAAAACTGTATATCAAGGCCAGTTATACCTGTAACAGACAGAAACAAAACAAAAAAAAAACAGCTCATAAAAACATTCCAGATAACAAAATTACAGCTTAAATTAACAAACAAACAAAAATACTGAAAATAAACAGAAGAGTGGGTTCTTTCACAAATATCTACCCAACCAGCTAACCATCATCATATCAATTTCAGTGAGGACCTGACTAAGCAATAGAGAAATACAGTTCCCTGAATTGAACAATACACGAAACCAAAGCTTTATAGTAGTCATGGAAATATTGCGAACACATAAGAAGTCAGCTACTGTTAATCAGTAACTTGACTTAACCTTTATAATGCTTAAAGTAGTATAGGTATTCAACGTGGGTATTTAAGAGGAAAACCCTTACATCCACATACAACAAGAAGAGCAACCTGGGACATCAGAGCACGACATATCCCTTACACATTAACAATGACAGCAAAAAAAAAAAAAAAAGAAAATGTCATATTTACTAACTTTTGAAAAATACAAATGCAGATGAATTAGAGCAGCAATTTCAGTAACAACAATTTAAGATTGAGCATAACAGCTCAGCACATCAAGTGATTGCTTAGCTATTTCGATGACTATTTGTAAAGGATGTAGGACTTGTGAAGAGCAGATAAAAAAGTAGGCAAAAGAGGAGGAGTCAACATAACCTGGCAATCTGAATCAAGCTGTGCTGGGCAACACTATAAATGCAGTAATAATAGAGGATTGGGGGTTCCTCCGGAAACTACAAAAATATCATCGAGTAAGTGGGTTTTGATTTGTTGGACTTGAATGCAACTAGAGGAATAAAAGATAAACTACGTGCCTAGGCTTAGGCTTACAACTTGGCCGTCGACTGCAACACAGATTAGTTTCAATCTACGTTGTCGATGCAATGTATTTAGGTTATGCCAAATTCATCAAAGAAGACCGATATAAGTAACAAATCGACCTTGACACATTTTCACAACAAACACCTGCATTGTCGCCTCCAAATTCCTTTCCAATTTTCACTTACCACGCATGGAAATCACGAAATGACGTCAGAAAGGTATTTGTATGAAGGACAGCGAATGGCGTTCAATGGCTGCTTGAGCTGCCGCTGACAGCTCTACAATGCTCAGCGCACAGTTGCCTACTGCGCAGGCGCACTGCCACTTCGCTTGTTTAGCGTTTAGCTTTGGCTCGGGAGGGCACCTCTCATCCAAACTATATTTTAAAAATAGGCTTTGGTGGTTTGGTGTTTAAAAGCGAAAAGTGGCCGTCTTCTTTAGTTATTGTTCGCTCGGTTGGCATAAAGGGGGGTGGAGAGGAGAACGAAGAGTGATGAAGTTCTGAGTGCCACCTCCATCTTCCGTACATCTAGGTCTCAATATAAACATGGCCGCAGTTCAGGCAGTTCACCGGGAAAGGATCTGCCTGGCAGTGTGTCCAGGGTCTGCCGTGCCGTGCCGTTGCAAGCCAGTCGTTTGCGACCTGTTGCAAGGAGCCAGATCCAGATCCAGATATACATGTATATGCATGGTTCCAGCAGTCTTACGAAATGAAATGAAGAAAAGAAAGGACTCGTGATTCTTAGTCATTTGTCATTTGGTTGAATTTTGATTTTTCATTTCCCATCACTGTAAGTCTGTTTGAAAAAGTACCTTGACCATAAATGGATACTTTTCATGTTTGTTGAATACGTTCCGTTCACTCACCACAAATTTTTGACTGTGTAGGGAATGCCTCATACGAGCATATGAGAGGTACATTTTTTATTATTTTTAACTTTGAGCAATGATCAAGAGGCTTGCTTTTTTATGTCAGAACGTGAACCTTGTTTGTGTCACATGTTCGCAGTAGTGTCTGTTAAAATGCCTTCGATGTCGTCCTGTATATGACGATCTTAACCCTACCTATTGTTTGGGTTTTGTTTTTATTGAGACAATTTCTCGTTCCTAATTTACCATTCATTGTTGTTCTCAATTAAATTCTCTCTTCTATCTCCTGATCCCTAATGATCAAGTTTGTTTTTCAACAACAGCTCATCTGAAATATTTGTATTCCGTTTAAATTTTTTGGTGGTTATGGGAGTGCGAAGCGTGTAGGATGTTATTGTTCTGGTAATAAGTTTTTGATTTTTGAACGAAGTCGTTATTTTTATGCCGTTATACAACCTTATACAGTCCATACCCTCCTTGAATTCTGGTTACTGGTTGTTTCCAGTTTATATGTTCAGGTCATGTACCTGTGAAAATTTTACCTTTTGTCTTGTCTTTACATATTTGTTTTCATGCTTTTTCAGATCATGAGTGATGGTCTAGAAAATTCTGCAGCCTCTGATCAGATAGATCAGGAAATCCAAAAGATTCTTGATCAATATGGGCCAATTGCTCTAACCCTGATTAAGGCCAAAGTTCAAAAGTTTTCGTCAAGCCCCAACAATGCAGCAAGTAATTCTCAAGATGATCAAGCCTTGAACGCAGCAAGCAATTCGCAAGATAATCAAGCCTTGAATGCAGCAAGCAATTCGCAAGATAATCAAGTTTTAAATGCAGCAAGTAGTTCTCAAGAAAACCCAGCTTCAGTTAAGAAAAGGAGAAAATCAACGAAAACTTCAAGAAAAAAATCGTGTGATGAAAACTTGCAAAGTTCAACACTTAAAAGCTCAGAACCTCATTCAAGTCGGAATGAACAAAGCGTAGAAGTAGACGTTACTCATGTCACTTCAAAAGTACTTGTCACTCCTGAAGATGTTGAAACTAATTCTTCTCCACATAGAGAAGACAGAAGCAGATTTGCCAAGGGGGGTGAAAAGCTACCTTCAGCTTCTGAGGAGTCTTCTAAACCTCGAAAGTCCTCTCATCGACGTTCATCAAAGGAAGGCTGTCAGTCAGAGGATGAGGATGTACCTACACACTCTCCAAAACAAATATGTGCACCTTCCTCTAAAACCCGAAAGGCTTCTCATCGGCGTTCATCAAAGGAAGCCTGTCAGTCAGAGGAGGAGGATATACCTTCAGACTCACAGAAACAAATGTCACCTTCTACATCAAGGAAAATTCCTACACAATCACCAAGAAAAAAGAAGAAGCAAAGCGATGAGGTTGTTTCAAAATTTTCACCTCCAGCTGTGGTAAAAGATTCAAGTACCAATACTTTTTCAGAATCTGTGAACAACTCAGATTGGAATGTAGTAGATCGGGATTGTTTCGTAAAAATAGAACCTATGCCTCAAACAGCTATGATGCAACCTGGAGCAGTGTCCAAAGCCAAAGTGGCCAAAGAATGCAGGCCTATGCCAAAATCAGTTAAAGAGAAAATTCTATCAAAGGTCAAAGTGACATCTAGAAACAAATCTCCAGACCACAATTTTTTGCCACCTTTACCCTTTAAAAAAAAGACTAAATCCTCCACTACCACAAGGCATTCTAAAGATCAAATGCTTGTAGCTAAGCCTTCAAATAGTATTTCATCAGATAGATGTGTAAATTCAACAAAATCTCTGTCTAAGGTCAATCTTTCTTCAAAGGCTACCAATACCAAAGGCCAAAATCTTGTAGCTAAATCTTCTCATACTAATTCATCAAAGTCTTGTGAGAATTTGAATACGGATCAATCTGAGGTCAGTCCCTCTTCCAAGATCCCTAATCCCTTGTTCAAGACTCCTAATCTTCCGTCCAAGATTCCTAATCCCCTGTACAAGAGTCCTAAGCCCAGTGATGAAATTGATGAAAGATTCTCAGATGGTTTCGAGAGTTATTATAAAGTCAAGAAGAATAAGATAGATCCATTGAGACAGATAGAAGAAGAAGATGAAATCCTAGATTTTGAAGCTGAACAACCAGGACAAGATGATGCAATTTCTCTCTTTGCGGAATCTGTAATGTTCAAGTAAGTTTAAAGCATGTTCCACTTCTTTGTGACATTTCATTAAGCTTGTATACCACCCCAACTATCTGTAAACTTTTTCAGTTCTTCTCTATTTCACATTGATTTTACACTAGATCCTTTGAATTATCCATATTGTTTTTGTGGGCAGAGAGTCTCCCAGATAACCAATTTAGGTGGTAGTTTTTGCTGTACCATATTTATTAATTGTATTGGTCATATGTTGCAGGAATGAAGCTGGATGGCTGGATGATGAGGAAGGTTTCCAAATGCGTCAAAAGTCTTCTCATATTACAGATGATGACTGTGATTCTGTAGCATCATGTGGATCAAGCAATAAATACCTATCTGATCACTCTGACGTGGAAGAAGAAGTCTGTGAAAATTTTGAAACAAGTGCACCTAGTACATCAGAGTACAAAGATGACAGTGAAGCTCTGACTGTTGAAAAACAGTTTTCAGTGCAGCACAAAGAACATGCTTTAGGTGTTCCTGTCGAAAATTATGCCAAAACTACCCTACTCAGTGATTCTGAGCAGCCCTTGGAGGAGTGTGGCAAAAAGGGTGTAGTATGTCCTCCTGTAAAGGAAGTGTGTGCTGTGGAAAATTTAAAACCGTCCCGCAAGAGACATAGAGAGGATTTGAACGTAAATGGTAACAAAAGTCGTGATGATATTGTGACAAAAGAGCAAAGTGTTGGTCACAGAAATAATTACCCTGTTGAAAGTGATGAGACCATTCACAAACATGTTATACTTGACAATAGTGAAGCAACTAACCTGAAGGAAAAGCAGGAATGTGATAAGTATCACCCAAATTCACAGCAGTTAAACAGCAGGGCACTACCAGTGCTATCAAATGAATCTTCAACTGGAAAAATTGATTCAGTTTTAGCAGGTACAAATCCTACAAGGTGTAGTGAGGACCGGATATCTTCAAGCGGTATAAACACATGCAGCTCTGCTAGTGACAGCACTGCCAAATCAAAGTCATTTGACACCAACCCTAACTGTGCACCTGATCCCAATTTACCTAATGTTCGCCCTAAGGGACAGACTCCTCTAGAGCGAGTCGAAAAACAGAGAGACCAGGTTGAGGACAATGGGCTTCTTCCCCTACCACCCCACATCAAACCGCTACTAGCTAATCCTAGGCACCCACTACTGCCTGATCCTCAAAATCAAACTGTCATGGTACTTCATTTTTCCTCTTTTGCATTTTTTGTTCATGAGTAAATGTGTTTTAAACTTTATTTTATTATTTGTTTATTATTGTTATTATTATAGGCTTCATGCAGACCAGGAGAAAGGACTCACTGCCCATCTGAAGTCTCTTTCTTCAATACACAGAATGAAAGAATTGGACTCCTTCCTACACCACCCCCTCTTAAACAACCACTGCTACAGAATCCTAGGTACCCACCATTTTCTGCTCCTCAAAATCAAGCAACCATGGTATGTGATTTTTCCCTCTTCAGTAATTGTTTTTTCATCTTCTTTTCGCCCAATCCAACAATTGTGGTTTATGATTACTGTATGTGAATTTATTTTTAATGTGCTTGGAATTTAATGTTTTTCAAGGTTTCTCACAATTTTTTGGAAATGCCTCGAAGACAATCTGAAGACTTTCCCTTTCCTAAAGAAACTTCTTCTTCCTGTGTAAGTACATTTTTACATTTTGTTTGACCTTGAAGAATTTTTACCTAAATCTCCTTAGATCAGTTTTTTGAGAATATCACAATATCACTAATCTAATCTATCTATTTTTCAAGTCATTGACTACTTTTCTTTTTGTGCTTAGCTAAATTTTTAAAATTAATCTTGACTCAATTCTTATTTACAGGATTCTATGAGATTTTCTCCTGTATCTGGATCAATTACTCCCATGCCTCCAATGCAGACGGTAAGGTTCATTATCAAATACGTTATCTCAAGTACTATCCTATTGTCTTGTGCAGAAGTTATTTTATCTCTGAAGTTTACCTAATTAATATCAGAACATTACCTAGTGCATTTTCCCCTCATAGGCACCACAAATGCAAGCAAAAGAGGATATGCATCATTCTGTAGATTCCCTTTTTGATAGCCAAATTCTTCCCTCGCATGTAAGAAAAAAAATTTATCTCATATAACACACCAGTCAAACAGACACTTCAGTACGGATATAGATTATGAAAGTTGTCTTGTCTGTTGACATTGATTTAATCCTTAATGGTTTTCAATCCAGAATCTGATTTTCATACATTTATTCTGTAAAACAAAGTAGTATGTGAGCATTTATAATTTTGTCTTTTAGGTACACACCAAGAGTTATCCTTCCCCATCAGGTGCAATTTCTCCCATGGTGCAATCAGAAAGGACAAATTTGCTTTCTGTGGACACCCAATTTGAGAAAAACACTTTCTCTTTGCCTGTAAGTAAATACTGATAACACTTGTCTTCTTAGTCATTATAACATGTGTAGTGTAGTTAAAGCTGACAATCAGTATGAAATGAGCTGGTTTGCTCATCAACTCTATTTTTGGGGTTCATTTGCAATGAACTTTCTTATATTTTTCTCTATCTAACTTCGTCAATGTTCAAAATCAATGCCCCCTGTGTTGACAGACTATTCTTTACACTATGTTATGTTCTTGTTTTGTGCATTAGTCCTTTCTTTGTCTTTACCTCAAGTTCCTCAAAATTTTGGGAGATTATCTTGGCCTGTCTATCCCATTTTGTTTTTGTTCATTAAACAATGAAATTTTGTGTGCCTCTTTACCACAGGTTGAACGTGGTATTCAAGGCTCCTGTGATGGTCACCTTATGCCACCTATGCAAGTAAGTCATAATGACAGCTTACTGGTCTAAAATTTCTTCAGCTTTCTCAGCTTATCTTTTGTAGTCTCAGGGCATTCTCTAAATCTGCTTTACCTTTTTCTTGAAATCAATTACCTACGGTAGTTGTATCAGCATTATTACACGTTAGTAACTAAATAGTAATTTTTTTTTAATTTTACAAAGTTGCTGATTTTTTGCCTCTTTCTTATAAAAAATACTCTTATTGAATCTCTTATTGCAATGGAAAAAGTTTCAATTTCTGTTCCATGTGTTCTTTTTTATGTGTTCTTTTTTTTCCTTCAGATGAACCCATCAGGGGTTGTTGATGCTGCATCAAATACATTTATGAACAACACGGTACAGTACCACTTGGTTTATCAAACTAAATCATTTCAAGTTATTGTTTTGATAAACAACCTACCACATAATTGAAACAAAAGCTTGTGTCCATTTCTAATTAGATGGGTTTTCTCTCTTACTTTTTCAGAATGCCATAAATAATTGTGGTACTTCACAAGAAGTGGATCATGTCATGTTGAGTAAAAGAGATATCGATCTTAGAACCCCTGTTGAATTTGGTAAAAAAGACTTTAATAGGTGGTATTTATGTGTAACAAACTTTTTGTCTTCATGCTTTTAAAATATCTTTTTCATGTATTTTAGTGGATAAATTTCTTCTTCCATATTGCCTTGAATACCTAACCAATGGAACATGCATGGTTAATAAATGTTTACGTTTTCATTATGTAAGAACCCATTGATAAGATTCCTCTTACAGTATTTTAAACTTTGTACCCTGTTCATAAATTGTTCTTTTTTTCCAGTTCCCTGAAATCAAGCTGGCTGAAATTCACAATAAATCTTATTTGCAGTACATATTTAAAACTCTAATATTAAATTATGACTTCTGGGTCGAAAAGAAATTTCCTGAAGACCTAAGAGCTTTGGGGAATCATCGTAATCAGACAACACTTTTGAACTTAAGTCAATATCTCTGGAAAAGAATTACAACAACAGGAAAAAATTACTCACACTTGTGGAAAGATATTGCTGATGCTTTGCGTGCTTGCGGACTCTCACCAGGCTTAATCTTATATCAAGTTCTGTCAATTATTGTCAACCTCAAGCCTTCCTCTGCAGATTATGACGTAAGATTAAGGTTGTCATGAACCGTTTACAGGTACCTATTACTTCTAACTCTAAGAATTGCTATTTTTGTTTTGGTTTTAGGCCATTGATAAATTGTTGGTGGTATTGTATCCTGACCATATTGAAAATCAAGGTGTAGAGTGGGGCGACTTGGGTCCTTTAAGGAGCCTGGATAATTACGAACTTCCTGAGAATGTCCTTAAAGAAGTACTTAAAAGTTTACTCATGAAACCTCTAATAACAGATGCTGATACATCAATTTGTGATTACCTGCTGACAAATCTACCCAGAAAGTGGAAACCAAGAAAGCCTGTTGAAGTTAGAATACTCGATTTAATTAAAAAATTGACCCAGGAGCTGGTTATTGCTCATCCTGCCAAGAGTAATGAGATGTTGAAGCATTTTGACCTAAATTTAGGGAATTCAGTTAGTGTAAACTGTATACCTAAGTCAAGCTTTCAATCAAAAAGTGTGACCAAGTCAAGACAACGGTTCTATCTTGCAAATAAGGATTCAGATTATCTTAGTGTTGGAACCACATTAAACGGACAAAGTCTGCAAACCATTACAGGTCCTAATTATCAGGCTGAAGAGTCTGCAGTAACGTGTGGATCCATCTCTGAAACACAAAATATCAATGTTTCTCCTAAAACCATTGAAAGTGCAACCACTTGCATCAATAATTCTAGAGAGGAAGAAGTATCCTCTAGCACAGAAGAAATCAAGACAAGTGCTCAGCCAAGTGATTTGATTGAAAGCTCACTGGGCTGTAAAGCTGAGTCAACATCTGCATTGGAAAAAATTTCAGTAAAGGTTTTAGGATTGGAAAGATCGGTATTTACTGTTCCTGAAGAAAGTGCTGGTCAGGGTACTAACACACCAAACTCAATATCTACTTCTCAACAAGAAGTGGGCGCTCCATTGAAAGAGTCACATTTGGGTAGACCAGCTGGAAAGTCTGTTGAGAGATCAAAGCCTCCAAAGACAAGACTAAAGGACGAGCCCATATCATCTTTGGTGGTGAAAAACAAGATGGGTGTCTTATCCAAAGTTCTACTTCACTGGCGAGACCTAGATAGAGTGAAATCTGGGAGTATCCAAATTTACAATGAATTCAAAAAGTCAAGTGCTGAAGAAAGGTGCTACAAGTATAGTACATTCTGTACTGCTGTTAAGGGTGAGTAATATTTCTAACTAACCAGGGTTTGGCAATTATATGTATATTTTGTAATTGTGCTGAATTTTTTAATACTCTTGTTTTCACTAGCCCAATGGTGTGGTCATAGTACTGATTGTCACTCAAAATCAACAGTTTTTAGGATTGGTCTCTTGTTACTTAAAGACTTCCAGACTGATGGTCTTTGGGAACAAGCAGACAATATCCTAACTACAATCCTGGCAACGGGTATAACTGAGATAGAGGTGAGTAGCATAGACATGTGATGTTATTATAATTTTTCAATACTGTTTACAATTTTTTGAACCACTAAAATGAAAAGTTCTTTTCGGTCTCAGGTCGAATCTTTTTCATCTGCTTCCATTGTGCTTATGAAAGTTCAAGTTGATTTGCATAATGGCAGGCTACAACAGGCACTAGATACATTTATGGGTACGAAATTATTCCCAACTTACCTAAATGTTCCTCTGAAGTAAAAATTTAAGTTTGATATTCCATCTCACAACTTACATTCCTCCCATCTAGCATGCAATCTGCACAGTGACAGAAGTAAATGGACACCTGATTCCATAGATGACGACGATGTCAGAAGGGATGAAGTTGCTGGTGATCTCCTTGAAAAATGCATTCAATTAGACACATTTGTCTTGAAGGCTGAAAAATTATTTAGATGCATGATGGATGCCAAAGAAAGCTATAGGAAATTTGGTATGAATATTCACTTTAAATAAGTTCTCTAACTTTGTATTTTTAATGTACTTACTACTCTGGTTGTTTTTTGGCTAGATGTAGCTTCAAAGTTCTATGACGAGGTCCTGCGATCTCTTATGAAAGCCAAAAAGAGCAGAGCAGCCTTTGATTTGCTTGGTTGGGCTCTTGACAACTATAGCTTTGCACCGAATGAGAGCACAAGAAGAGCGCTAATTTTACAAGTTCCTGAGTTTTCTGAAGAAGAGCAAATTAGGCTATCACCACTTATTGTTTGGCTTATGCAACAGCAGCCATACAGTGACGCCGTTCCACACAATGTGCAGGTTTGGATCCTTTTTTGTTCTCCTTCGGTTTTTTTCTTATTGGGTAAAATATCTCATTGTCATCTCTGTTCTGTTCCTTAACCTGGTGAAGAGATCTTTTGACAAAATTGCTAATTGTAACCGCCATGATGTTCAAATCTGTTGCCAAGTGTGGGTGTTGACCTCTCCTTATCTTATTTGTGTTATTTCTGAACTTGTAAGTGCTGAATCATACAAGCCTACTTAGTGACATGTTCAGTTTTGGTAAAATGTCAACCACAAACAACAGAATCTAGGTCCTGCTAGTAGTAACCTACATGCTCCTTGAATTCTATCAAGCTGGTTTGGACAGTTCTGGATTTTGTAAATTATTTCCATGATAAAGCAGACTTTTTAGCTTTGCTGTAACACAAATGCAAATATGCATTTCATTGTTATTTTTTAAACTAAAAATTTTCTGAGCTTTAGGTTCAAAATAAATTTTTCAAACTGTTGGTCATGTCATTTGTATCTTATATCAATTTGGGAAAAGATTTTGATCAGCCCAATAGCAAAAATGAATTTCTGTTCTTGTAAGTAATTTGGCCGTATGATACATTTTCAGGCTGGCCAGAATGTGGTCATACTATTACCATCCACATGGTTTAATTGTGAGGTGCGCTGCCTCATGCGATTTCTCCTAAATACTCACATTGCAAACCTCCCCCCATCCCAAGAAATACCCAATATTGTAGTAAAAATCAAGGTAATTTATTCCTCTCTTAGGATTTATCATCCAAAATGAAACATACAATTTACAATCAAAGTTCAGTACCTAAGTGATGTAAACTTCAAATATTCTTAAGACTTCAAAATGTTGAAAAAAAATTTGTTTTCCCGTGCCAGATATGTGTATGTTATACATATAACTATATAAACTAAGTATCCAGGTTGCCCAGATCAGACCCATACTATCTGTTTTAATTCTAATTCTTGGGCCCTATGTTTACAGAAAGGCAGCGTTCCCCAAGAAGATGCAGGACAAATCACACAACCTTTTGGACTCATGAATGTTGATTCATCAATCTCTGCAATGCAGAATAGACTTCATAAAGTACTAACTGAGGAAGAATTTCCCCTCATTAATAATTTCACAGAGTTTAAAAATGAGAGTATCACTTTGGATAAAGCTCTTGTGCAAGAATATGTTCATGATCGAAGAAATAGAGGTAGAACTGTTGAAAACCCTCAACCTAGATGTCTATCTTCTAGAGGTCGAGGTCTGTTGCAGGCCAGAACTTGCCCTAATCCAATGCAAGGGTTAGAAAGAAGAGATTCCTTGGGACAACAGAATGAGTTGGCATCATTTGAAGAACAGAATGGATATCCTCGTCAAGAGTTTGATGTACACAGGCAGCCACCTCAACATTTCCCACAATCTTTCCCTCAAAATCAATATCCCCCGAATCAATATCCCCCAAATCAATTTCCCCCTAATCAATTTCCCCAAAATCAGTTTCTTGATTCATATGGTGGTCGCCCTTCATATCCTTCGCGTGGTAATTTCCGAGCTCAAGGCACCAGAAATAACAGAGGTTATCAGAATGGAAGAGGTTCATACAGCACCCGCGGTAGATACAACTGGGGTCGTGGAGGACCACACAATCCTTACTGAGAATCAATTAATTAGACTTGCTACATTAAGTTTTGACATTTTTTTATTGAATTATAGTTGTAAGTTTATATTCAATGTTCACATATTGTATGTTAACCATAATCAATAAATCCTATTTTTCTTAGAAAGATTTATATACTGAAGTACATAAACCTTCCCTATGAGTAACAATCATGACAGCAGAAATGTAAAAGATGCTTAATGACACATCCGCTTTATTTTTTAAAATATTGACAAACTATGTTAGCCTGATTCAAAATATTGTCAATGCAAAAGAAAAGGTATGACGGAGCAGGTCTGAAGCAGGATAAAAGGATTAGGGGCGATTCTCACAACATATCAGAACAACTCAGAAAAGTGAACCAGTGCAATGACATGTGCATGTAAATTCTATATGTTCGAACAGTATGAGTTGAAAACGTACACACGGAATATTACTAAAGCATTATTTTTTTTTACTCTTAGCTTCTTACAGAAGACGCGGGAGATTTGATTTTTCTTTAAAAATACGATTTATCTTTGGAAACCTGCAATAGATCATAAACATCAACAATCATGCAATATGCTGCAGCAGACGACAACCCAACACCAACTTAATTTTGATTAAATGCAATCCAAATTACTACAGCCGTACACATTTTAAAAGAAATCAAGTTTGATGAGGAATTTTTTTTAAACAAATACTTAAATGCTTGGGATTAGGCATCAAATTCTTTTGGTAAATTCAGGCTGAAACCAGAACATTTTGTAAGGTTGGTACACAGTCACAGCAGTTGAAAACGGAAGGCGATGGCAAACCACACTGCTGCGTGACGTCTTTTCCGGTCAAGAACCGCTTCGTGAGGTACAGCCGTGATCATTTTTCTGAGTTCTTATCGTATTTCATCGTGGTATATTTCAAGTATTTATTCGGTCTTGTATTATTGTTTTCATAACCGACCCTCCTGCTTGAAATATATTCCTCTTTCAAAGATTTACTCGTCGCTCCAGTATTTTTTGTGTAAATGTGGCGTGTTCTAACCTACATTCACGTTTGGTTGCCGACGTAAATACTTGTGTCCGTACGCGTTGCAAACATTCGTCCAATTTCTGCACCCTTGTTCTAAATCGTGTTCTTTCCATTGCCCAGTGACTGAAGTAACTCCTCCCAATTCGCACTCATCGTCGAATATCTCCACATGTTCGAGTTGATGCTCTATGCCACAATTTGAGACACTTAGTTTTTCTCCTTTTCTGATCCATTCCTACTTTTTCTTTTCTCGTGATATTCCTTTGGCTTGTGGTAGTCCTATGAGACCTCTAGCGGTTTGAATAATCACCGGGTATGTATTGTGTTTGCAGGTTTGCACGAAGCAATCATGGGTCGGTACTCTCATGAGCCCGAGGTGGTTCTCAAGTCATGCAAGGCGCGTGGCTCAAACCTCCGTGTTCATTTTAAGGTAGGTGGTTTGTGTTGGTGCGTTTGTGACATTGCTCTGCATTTGTCTTTGATTTAACTGGTCATACTTTTAAGGATATGATGAAAACAGCACGTCAGTCTGAAATCATGTTGTGGTCAAATTTAAATCTGATCCTTACAAGTTTGAGTTTGTCTTTCCTTGAAGATTTCTGTGACATCTAAGTAATATAGCTTCTCTACTCCAGAACACCCGGGAGGCGGCCAAGACCATCAGAAAAATGAGCCTGAGGAGGGCAGTTAGGTACCTTAAAAATGTTACCGAGAAGAAGGAATGTGTTCCTTTCCGTCGTTTTAACGGAGGTGTTGGCAGATGTGCTCAGGTATTGTAAATCATTTTTCTCAATGAATCCTTACTTTTGATTCTTTCATGTTGTTGTGATGACTCACCTAGCTCGCTTTGACTTTGATGAAGATAATTCTTCGTTCCCTAAACACTTGATCTGAGCAACATGGTAACTTGTATTTTGGACCCCCTTTAATATTTTTGCATGTTATGATGACTCACCTAGCTCGCTTTGATCACGATGAAGAAAAATCTTCGTTCCCTAAATATGTAATCTGAGCAACATGCATACCTGTATTGTTATTCTCTCTATTATGTCGCATGTTATGATGACTCACCTAGCTCGCTTTGATCATGATGAAGAAAAATCTTCGTTCCCTAAATATGTGATCTGATCAACATGCTTACTTAACTTCTGTTTTATTTTCTGAATGTTGTATTTTTTTCTCTGATTATTTTAGCTCACTTAGACCAAGATGAGGAATTCTTTCTAGGTTGCACGTTTACATGTTGATTCCTGTAATTTTATCTGATTTCCTTCATCTTTACTATTTCTCCATCCAATTTTTCCTTGATTTGGAGTTACTGAGGATGTAGCATGTTCATATGATGACTCACCTAGCTCGCTTTGATGATCATGAAGAAAATTCTTCGTTCCCTAAATACTAAATCTGAATAACATGTTACATCTTGCTACATAGTGTCTCCCAACATTTTGATATGATGAACCACCTAGCTCGCTTTGAGTAAGATGAAGAAAACTTAGTTCCCTAAATTATTGTTCTGATCTTAATGTATGGGACACATTCAAATTCCCCAATTCTTTTCCTGGTCCTTAGCTGAATATTTTTATCTACAGCCAAGTTTAGGTGGTAATCGTGCTACACTACCTCATTTGTGTTGATTTACACTTCATATAGTTATAACAAAATGTGCCTCTTAAGGGCCATCTTCTAGTAATGAAGTTTAGCACTTGATTTTCATTTTTTTTTTCTGTTTGAGTTAACTGATAAGCCTACTAGAGTATTTCCCTTTTAAGAGAAACTCTTAGATTTTCTTGTTCTTGCCATTGTTTGTGATGATCTACCTAGCTCGCTATGAGTTACCTGTGAAGAAAACTCTTACGTTCCCTATTCAATAATGACCTGATGGCAATGGCAGATGTTATTTTGATGCACGCTTGTCATCTCTGTGTGGTGTTTCAAACTGTTTTCTGTTTCAGGCCAAGGCCTGGAAAACTACCCAAGGTAGATGGCCCAAGAAATCTGCCGAGTTCCTGATCCAGCTTCTCAAGAATGCTGAATCTAATGCCGACTACAAGGGTCTGGATGTTGACAGGCTGGTTATTGAACACATTCAGGTCAACCGTGCCCCTTGCCTTCGCAGGAGGACCTACCGTGCTCACGGTCGTATCAACCGTACGTATTTCTTTTGTATTTGTGTCATTCAGACAAACTGTTTCTGCCTGGGCATTCAATTTTGAAGTCATACAAAGAATTTGAGTTTTTTTTTTTTTGTAAATTACAATGGGAGCTCAGCTACAGTGGCCACATTTATTAGAGTTGGACATTATTCTTAAGTGGGGGTATGGTATGAGTAATTCTTATTACAGAACTACTTCAAAACCCAGTGTCAAAATTTGTCATACTTTTCCATTCCCTGTAAGTCACCAAGTCATTTCTTTCCTTGCAGCTTACATGAGCTCGCCCTGCCACATTGAGGTCATCCTTACCGAGAAGGAGGATGTTGTCTCCAAGGCCACCGATGATGAGCCTGCAAAGAAGAAGGTCTCCAAGAAAAAGTTGGCTAAACAGAAGGAGAAGATGATGCGCGAATAGACCACTGAATGTTAATTCTCAATAAAAATTAAAAATCCAAAGTGTTTGGTTTGCATTTATTTTTAAGGTGTTTCATATAATCCATTCATTTGTTTTGTTTCAAGTATGAGGTAGGCTGACCTGAAAAAGGAAGAACTTAGTTGTGGGTACTGTGAGGTGCAAGCATGAGGGTCGATGGGAGTGATGAAACAGTCCATTTTTCGTCGAGCTATCATGTTATTGTAACGATTACCGTGTTAGGAAAATGCTGTCAAGGCCTGTTTTGTGTAAAAGCAAAGTTTGGTGTACCTGTGGTGTGTACATGTGACTATTGTTGAAGGCAACTGAAATGGCTGAGCTTAATCTTCTTTGAGAGTACTGCTGAGACACTTTTAGACAAAGCATTAGTTCTTATGCCCGTATGGGTCAAGGAAAAGCTTTTCCAATCAAATTTACCTCTAAACTGCCGCGTTTCCAAACTGTTGGTGCCAAATTGCTACGGGCCGTGGATTCCTGACCTATTCTGTTTGACGTCAATGTCTTATTTATGGACAGATCAGGGCACTGTGCAGTGGAGCCCACCACTGCTCTCTCCACGCTCTGCATTGCTGGGTGGCCTAATTTGGCGATAATGAATGAAGGCTGGTCGGGTATCATGCGCCCCCGACAAGATGGATGGATGGATTATTGGGCGGGCGAATAGCCGGTCTGACCATTTCTCATTTTTTTTCGACTTCGACCCTACTTCTCTCCTCCGCCAGACTAGCATTAGCCCTCGCGGTTTGCCGGGGCGGAGCAGGTGCGAAGCGAACCCCTGCCATCGGAAGGTTAGGCCACCCATTGCACTCCCGTGTCTGGCATTGCCGCTCTTGTCGGCGCCTGGTAGTTTCCGTGGCATTGCTACGGTGAGCCGAGGGAATCTCGCTGCTTTTATCGCCTCTTTCCGGTTATAGTATTTTCTCTAAGGAGCGCGGATCATTCCGTTCAATCGAGAGGCTGGCAAAGATCAGATGTTCATTCAGGACCGCGGAGAACCTTACAGCCGATGCTCTCGAAGTCGAAGTGACCGAAAAAGAACACCCTGTAAAAATAAATTCGTAATCAAAGACAACCAGCATAGAATTCTCTAAGGGGCAACACCCGGCCCCCTCTTCCCCCATTTCCCTTCTTTATATCCTAGTAGGACCGGTCCGTGTCGGGCGTAAGAATAAAGCGATATGATGAAAAAACAATATTGTGCTACGCGCAGTCCCAGCAGGTTTACCCCCGTCCCCTTCTTT